AAAAGGCTGCAGCAGCCGCAGCAGCAGCTGCTGCCAGCGGAGGGGCACTGCAGCAGCTTCCAGCTCCTGCACGAGGGGCCCCTGCAGCTCGGGGGGCCCCTGGGGCCCCCAGGGGCCCCAGGGGCCCCAGGGGCCCCCCGCCAGCCGCAGCAAAGCAGCAGCTTGTGCTGCAACAAACCCCAAAGACTCCTCCGGGGATCCGATCCCAAAAGGAATTAGTCCATCTGTAAACACTTGATAAAGCACAACTCCCAAACTCCAAAGGTCACTTTTCGGGTTTGCTGCTGCGGCCAACGGAGACCCTTCGGGGGCCCCCTCTTCCTCCTGGGGGCCCCCCTGGGGGCCCCCCTGGGGGCCCCCCTGGGGGCCGCCGTGGGGGCCCCCCTGGGGGCCCCCCTGGGGGCCCCCCTGGGGGGCCCCCGGGGGGCCCCCGGGGGCCCCCGGGGGGCCCCCGTGGGGCCCCCAGGAGGGCGGGGGCCCCACGAGGGGCCCCCGGGGCACTGGGGGGCCCCCCGGGGGCCCCCGGGGTTTGGCGTAAAGGTCCAGCAGCAACTCGGGCTCTGCGTAGACTGGAGTGATGTCAGTGAGCTGGTCGGCCTGGCTGCTGCTGCTGCTGCTGCTGCTGCTGCTGCTGCTGCTGCTGCAGCAGGTGCTGCTGCCGAAGTCCCCCAGCAAGAAAGAGCCGTCGGGCCGCATGAAGCAGTTCTCCAGCTTCAGGTCGTTGTGGCTGATTTGCTGCTGCTGCAGCAGCAGCACCTGCAGCAGCAAACGGAAGCCGATGTAGCACTTGGCTTCCATTGGCAGCCACTCCTCCCCCAGCTGCTGCTGCTGCCACTGCTGCTGCTGCTGCTGCTGCTGCTGCCAGTGCTGCTGCTGCTGCCAGTGCTGCTGCTGCTGCTGCTGCCAGTGCTGCTGCTGCTGCCAGTGCTGCTGCTGCTCGTCGTCGTCGAAGGGCAGGTCGTCGTGCTGCTGCTGCTGCTGCTGCTGCTGCTGCTGCTGCTGGCCGCGGAGCTGGTGGTGCTGCTGGCGGCGGCGGCGGCGCTGCTCGTGCTGCTGCTGCTGCAGCTGCAGCAGCTGCTGGCGGCGCTGCTGCTGCTGCAGCAGCTGGCGGTGGCGGAACTTGATCTGCTGCAGCAGCAAAGAAGCATCGCCCTGCAGCCTTTCCAAAACTTGAACTTTATTAAAAATAAAAACTTTTTCTCCTTCCATTAAAGAAGGAGTGTTTTTAATTTCAGCAGCAAAAAGGGGAATGGCGAGGCCGCGCTGCGCTGCTGCTGCAGCAGCAGGCAGCCCCGCAGCAGCGCGCAGCATCACCGCCTCCTCTGCTGCTGCTGCTGCTGCCACTCCTGCTGCTGCTGCTTCCCAGTCTGCTGCAGCAAACTCCAAAGACACGTAAGTCAGCCGCATCGCTAGCTGCTGCTGCGAAGCATTGTCTTGGATTTCGACAACAGCAGAAGCAGCGCCGTCCCCCAGAAACCGGGTCACCGTGAACGTCCGCTCCCGCTGCTGCTGCTGCTGCTGCTGCTGCTGCTGCTGCTGCTGCTGCTGCTGCTGCTGCTGCGGCTGCAGCGCGCGGATGTTGGTCAAAGTCAACTCCAGCCCCACCAAGTCTTCGCCAATGCCCCCCGAAAGAGCAGCAGCAAGAACGCGCATGCCTTCGGAGCTCTCGCGGCCCGGCAGCAGCTGCGGCAGCTGCTGCTGCTGCTGCTGCTGCTGCTGCAGTTGCTGCAGCTCCCACAGCTGCCGCGCTATGTACCTTTTCCCCGCCACCAGATAATCCGGAAGCTCTGCTTCTGCTTCCTCCAGTGTCGGCACTTCCAGCCGCGCCTCGCTTGCTGCTGCTGCTGCTGCTGCTTCTGCTGCTGCTGCTGCTTCTGCTGCTTCGGCTGCTGCTGCTGCTTCTGCTGCTTCGGCTGCTGCTGCTGCTTCGGCTGCTTCGGCTGCTGCTGCTGCTTCCGCCGCGGCAGCTGCTTCCGCCGCCGCGGCCGCCTCCGCAGCAGCTGCTGCTGCTGCTGCCCGCGCTTCTTCTTCTGCTGCTGCTGCTGCTGCTGCTGCTATTGCGTCTCCAGGCGCAGGCAGCACTTTGCTGCGGTGCCCCGCATGCAGCAGCAGCAGCAGCGCGCACAGCAGCAGCTCAGTGGTGACTGCTGCCAAAAAGAAATAATGCTTCCTCCTTTCACGCTTTCCCGTCCCTGCTGCTGCTGCTGCTGCTGCCGGCTCTGCTGCTGCTGCTGCAGGCTCTGCTGCTGCTGCTGCTGCTGCTGCTGCTGCTGCTGCTGCTGCTTCAGGGAGCGCAGCAGCAGCAGGGGCCCCCGCAGCCTCCGGGGGCTCCCCCACGACAGGCGCAGCGCTGAGCATGGTGGGTTTAGTGGGGAAGCTGCAGCAGCAAAGCAGCAGCAAAAGGAAGCGGCGAATTGCTGCAGCAGCAAGGCAGCAGCAGCAGCAGCAGCAGCAACAGCAGCAGCAGCAGCAGGCTCACGCTTCTTGCTGCTGCAGCGGCCCCCCTAAATTACAAAGATGCCAACAAATGCTGCTCGCATGCACGTCTAAAGGCGTCGGGGAGAAGCCGGGGAAGTCCGGGCGACGCTCTAGGGTTTAGGGTTTAGGGTTTAGGGTTTAGGGTTTAGGGTTTGGAGTCATAGGCGGCGCGCGAGAGGCTGCTGTCGCGTTGCAGTCAGCCCCTGAGGTGTACAGACAGCTCGCAAGAACAGAAGGAAGCACAAAAGAGAAGACAAGCCTCAGCAGCAAAGCAGCAGCAGCAGCAGCAGCAGCTGCTGCTGCAGCAACCGCAGCAATTGGGGTGTTTAGACAGCTCCGCCCTGCAGCAGCAGCAGCAAATAACACCTTTTAAAAGAAGCTTCTGCACTCAAACTGAGCCCCTCTTCAAAAGACAAGAAGCTGAGGTAGCTGCCTCGTCGAGGCCCCCACCCGCAGCAGCAGCAGCAGCAGCTGCTGCTGCTGCTGCTGCTGCTGCTGCTGCTGCTGCTGCTGGAGCTGGAGCAGCGGCAGCGGCGGCCGCCGGTGCTGCTGCTGAAGGGGCAAAAGACAAGCAAGGAAGCAAATAAGAAATTAATTTGATTTATTAAATAAATAAAAATAATTTAATTAACTTTAATTGGCTTTTGTGGAGGCTTGGGCAGCAGCAGCCAAGCCCGCACGAGACCGGGCAGGAGGGCCGGAGCCGCTCTGGCGCTCCCCAGGCTCTTTTTCGCCCGTTTTTCCGGCTAAAAAACACCCAAAAGGCCTTTTATTTGATTTATTTCTAAATTTAGTTCCGAAAATCCAAAAAAAACGCAAAAAAACCCGAAAAAAGAGGCATTTTGCGTCGCGGCGGCGGCTGGGGGCTGGCCCTGGTCTGAACCAGCGGAAAGCCACGCCGCCGCTCCCGCAGCCCTGCGCCCCCAAAGACAGCCCCAAAAGGCCGGAAAGAACTCCCTTTGAAGCTCAAAGGAAATTAAAATCAAATTCAGAACAAAATTCCACAGGGGCTGGGCTTGAGCGCGCGTTTTTTGCGGCATTCTGCCGCGCGAACGGCTCGATGCCGCAGGTGCTGCTGCTGCTGCTGCTGCTGCTGCGTGTCTGCTGCTGCGAACGCCGATTCGGCCCCCAAACCCCGCTTTTCTTCACCCCCTCCCCTCTCTTGTTTGTTATTTTCGTTTTCTTTTCCTTTTCTCCAAAAAAAATCTTCAAAAACGCCGGAGTTGTGCCTTTTTGGGAACGCCGACGCGCAGCTGCCAAGACACCGCAGCTCGCCCGGAGCAGCCTCACTCCACGCTGGCTTCCTCCGCCAGCTTTTTTTTGCGTTTTAATTTCTTTTCCTTCTTTAACTTTCAATTATTTAATTTAATTCCATTTAAAAGAGAAGCTGCGTGCAAAATTAGTGGTCTGGCCGCGCGCGAGGCGCTGCTGCTGCTGCTGCTGCTGCTGCAGCGGCTGCAGCGCACAAACACGAGAAAAGGCCCAATAAGCAGCAAAGTTCAACTCTTAAGACCTCATTTTAATTATTTTTAATGATTGTTATTCAATGGACACTGTGCTGCACAAGCAGCAGCAGCAGCAGCAGCAGCAGCAGCCAGTGCAGCAGCAGCCGATGCAGCAGCAGCAGCATCGGCCGCTTCGACAGAATCAGCAGCAGCAGCAGAATCAGCAGCAGCAGCAGCCCCTAGTCACACAAACTGGAAGCTCTTTTAGAAGCAGCTCAAATGGCATTTTAAATGAGTAGCAGCAGCAACAGCAGCAGCAGCAGCAGCAACAGCAACAGCAGCAGCAACAGCAGCAGCAGCAGCAGCAGCAGCCGCTGCATGCAGCAGCAAAGAATGAAAGCGACGAAAAAACGCCAAAAGATAAATTCGTTCTATTTGCAGATTCTCTCTCGAACTCTCCACTCAACTCTTTAATTTAATTTAATTTTATTTTATTTTATTTAATTTTATTTTATTTTATTTAATCTAATTCTATTTAATTTAATTTAATTTAATTTAATTTAATTTAATTTAATTTAATTTTGTTTTAATTTAATTTTTGTAAAGGACAAACGCGTTCCCTCGTGGGGGCAGCAGCAGCAGCAAAACGAGAGCTGCAAAAGGCCCCAAGAAGAAAAAACTGGTTAGCTGGCTAGCTGGCTGGCTAGCTAGCTGGCTAGCCATCCAGCTAGCTAGCTAGCTAGCTAGCCAGCAGCTAGCTAGCTAGCTGGCTGGCTGGCTAGCTTGTGAGCAAGTGGGCTTGCCAGCTAGCCAACTGGGTGTCCAGCTAGCTACCCGGCCATTTGGCTAGCTAGCTCTTGAACCGGCTAGCTAGCTAGCTAGCTAGCTAGCTAGCCACCTAGCTAGCTAGCCAGCTAGCCTGCCGGCTGCCCAGAGATCAAGCCAACTAGCTGGCTAGCCAGCTAGCTAGCCCCCCAGCCAGCCAGCTAGCTAGCTAGCCAGCCATCTAGCCCCCCAGCAAGCCAGCGAGCCAGCGAGCCAGCTAGCTAGCTAGCCACCCACCCACCGTGGGTGGGT